GCTCCCCGTTTCCGACGTCCACAGAAACTCGCGGATGGTTTCCTGAGATTACGCGGGCTGGTCGGTGGAGAAGCGGGAGGGAGAACACACGCGGCCCAGTCGGGCAGTTCAGGGTTTCGGTCCCCGTCAGCGCTCGGCCCGAGGCAAGCTACTACACCTCCCAGAACCTCGCTTCTCCATCAGGAGAGGGGGTTAACGCGTCCTGGCTGCAGCCCAATTTTGAAAACTTAAAATTAAAGTGTGTGTGTACATATAAATACATACGTGTGCACGCACACGCACACACACACACACCTGGCACAGCACACATTCAATCATAGCAGCTATTACCAATTCCTTTGTAAATAAATCACTTGCTAATCTATTTTAAAACTGTATGTTTTCATGTGAATGCTCAACTGTCATACAAGAAATTTTCCTTCCAATTGTATTCCCTGTTGGGCTATTACTAAGGCAGTGCAGAAAATAACATTGCACAATGCTTTAGCAACAGATTGCATAAAGGAGGGTCAGAAATCTTACAGGCCACAGAAATGAAGACATACGTGGAGGTTACAGCATTCGTCCTGGGGACAGGGAAGCAAGGGCTGAGGTAAGATGTAAACACAGGACACTATTCTCAATCGCTTTAATGTCTAAATAAATAAATAAGTAACCCCTCTGCTGGTCTCAGGAACTTCCGAAAGTATTTAATCTGCTGAGAGAACTCTTTACTAACACACGACGCAACGAAGCTCATGGATTCTTCAGAGAGGAATTCTGTTCTGTTCTGTTCTGTTCTGCTCTGTTTTGCTATAGGGCACGTGTGCTCGCCAGAGAGACAGTAAGACAGAGAGAGACAGAGAGCCAGAAAGCAAGAAATCACCCCCCTCGGGGGATGGCCATGCCACTATCCCTTCTCCGTTCTCCACTTGGGATCTTGGGCATGCACACACACGTGCCCAGTGTGAGTTTAAGCCACCGGGTCTGGGACTCGAACCACGGTCGGCAACATGGGAGTCCAGCAATGTAACCATTACGCCACCTGCTGGTCCCTCATGAACTCTTTAAAACATCACTGTGGAGCCCTTTCCCTCGGGTGTGAACAAGCCTGAACTAACACCTATGGTAGCTGAGCGAGCCGCAGCTCACAGTGAGAAGCCCACCCAGCCAGACCTTCCCGAGCTGCACCAACACTCCTCGACCCCGTCCTCCCGGCCCTCGTAAGGTGCTATCGAGACAATGGCCGCGGCCCCCAGCTTTGCCTTCTCACCCGCGTCAGTGGGGTTTCCAGAAAGCCAGAATTCGACGCCCGGGGCCAGAGGTTCATGCCTGCGGACCCGGCCCGGCGAGGATGGCATTAGCACATGTTGCCACGACGCCTGGCGGTCAGGGGGGAAATGGCGTGGCTGGGAAACGGGGCTGGAGGGCCACGGCGCCGTGTGACTACGGAAAGAAGGGGGTGTCCCTCCGCGTCCCACTGCAGGGAAGCGCAGTCTGCGCTGGACACGCCGGGTCGGGAGGGGGCCACGTCCTGACACCCCAGGATGAGGGCAGCTCAGAGGGCAGGGGCCTAGCTCTGCACCCTCGGACCCGGCGAGCGTCCCAGCTGACTGGCCAGTGCCCCCGCCACCGCCTTCTACCCCCGGTGCTGTGGGAGTCACTGAGGTCAGAGGACACTTCTCGAACCCCCAGGAGGCACACTTCTCGAACCCCCAGGAGGCACACGCATCCCTGCGGAGCGGCTTACAGTGGCGCTGGACAGAAGCCCACTCCTCTCCCCAGCATGTGCGGTGAGTGGGGCGGGGCAGCAGGGAAGGGCAATGGATTCGGCTTCTGCGCCTGTCCATGGCCCAGCAGTTACCAGAGGTACCCACTAGCGCCTAGAGGTTACAGCTAGCATTTTACCTGATGGCCGGGTTAAGAAAAACCATCACAGACAGAAGTATCTAAATTACTGGGTCGTCAGAAAAGCCCTGAAGCGCTCTGCAGAGACAGTACCGCACTGCAGGTCTGCACAGCTTTTCCACGGCCCAGTGCGGGTCACAGTCATCTGGTGTAAAGTGTGGGGTAGAGTGAGCGGGTCTGGGGCACCCTATGGGGACTGAGCAGGTCTGGGAACCCTACAGGGAGTGAGCTGATCCAGGGGTCCCTATAAGGAGTGAGCTGGTCCAGGGGTCCCTATAGGGAGTGAGCTGGTCTAGGTACCCTATAGGGAGTGAGCAGGTCTGGAAACCCTATAGGGAGTGAGCTGGTCCAGGGACCCTATGGGGAGTGAGCAGGTCTGGGAACCATGCAGGGCGTGAGCTGGTCCCTGGGGGCCCCAGTGGGGAGTGAGCAGGTCCGGGAAACAGAACTACCTTCCTTGGAGGAGAAATGCCCATGCTCTGAGCAAGAAGGACTGGCGTCGCTAAGTCTGGGGTGTGGGGGCAGAGGCAGGGGGGAGCCACAGCCGAGGGGACGGCCCTGAGACCTTACACACGCCTATTTTTTTTTTATTTTTATTTTTTTCTGGAGAGAGATGTTTGCTATAGGGCACATGTGCTCACTGGAGAGACAGACAGAAACAGGGACAGAAAGCAAGAAGTCACCCCCAGGGGGGATGGCCATGCCGCAATCCCTTCTCCTCCATGCTCCTCGGGATCATGGGCACGCACATGTGCCTGGCTCCTTGCGTGAGTTTTAAGCCATGGGGTACAGGACTCCAACCGCAGTGGATAGGTGGGGGTCCAGTGACACTGCCATTACGCCTTCTGCTAATCTCTACACCAGTGTGTCCCCACGCCTTGTCCAGTGAGGGTCGCGAGGTCTGCTCGAGGTGCAGAGCAGCCAGCATGGGAGCCAAGGAGGAGGAGCAGCCACGAGCCAGGCAGGACGTCAGGGGCTGGGACTCAGGCTATGAGGGCTGGGAAGCTGCGAGGATTCCATGTCCTCCCTCCTTTCCATTTCCAACTCCCGGGACCTCCCCTGGGAGCCAGCATCCTGCACCAGCTGTAGCGCCCATGAGAGAGGAGGTGGGTGGCCTTCAGGGCTTCTCCAAGCCTGCAAGCACAGCTCCTCCATATGGACGGCCCGGCCACTGCCCCCCATACGGACGGCCTGGCCACTGCCC